CCTTCACCCTCCCAGTCCCCTTCCCTCTGGTGACCACCATACTATTGTCTGTGTCTATGAGTTTCAGTTTTATATTCCACATATGAGTGAAATCATATGATTCTTAGCTTTTTCTGACTGACTTATTTTGCTTAGCAGAACATTCTCACAGTCCATCTATGTTGTCGCAAATGGCAGTATTTCATCTTTTCTTGTGGTTGAGTAGTAGTCCATTGTATAAATGTACATCTTCTTTATCCAATCATCTATTGAAGGACACTTCTGTTGTTTCCATATCTTGGCCACATGTGAATAATGTTGCAATGAACATAAGGATACATATATCTTTGCAAATTAATGTTTTCACATTTTTCGGGTAGATACCCAGGAGAGGGATTGGTGGGTCATGTGGTAACTCTATTCTTAATTTTTTGAGGAAACTCCATAGTGTTTTCCATAGTGGCTGTACTAGTTCACATTTACACCAGCGATGAATGACGGTTTTTTTTCCCCTCCACAACCTCTCCAACACTTGTTACTACTTGTCTTGTTGATAATAGCCATTCTAACAGATGTGAAGTAGTATCTCAGGGTAGTTTTGATTTGCATGTCCCTAATGGCTAGTGAAGTTGAACATCTTTTCATATATCTGTTGGCCATTTGTATATCTTCTTGGGAGAAGTGTCTGTTCAGGTCCTCTGCCCATTTTTAAAATTGGAATTTTTGTTTGTTTGGTGTTGAGCTGTATGAGCTTTTTACATATTTTGGATAGTAACCCCTAACCAGTCAGAGCTGGTGTTTGTGAATATCTTCTTGCATTCAGTTGCTTACCTTTTTGTTTTGTTGGTGGTTTCTTCTTCTGTGCAGAAGCTTTTTAGTTTGACGTAATCCATTCTTTTATTTTTGCCTTTACTTCCTTTGTCTTTGGGGTCTAATTTATAAAATCTTCTCTAAGACTAATGTCCGTAATTGATCTTAGAGAACCTTTAGTACCTATGATTACGTCTATGTAATTTATTGTTTCAGGTCTTATATTTAGGTCTTTGGACTATTTTGAAATAGCTTTATACATGGGGACAAACCATGGGTTCATATTTTTGAAAAAGAAAACAGCTGAGGGTTCCATCAGCATTTTGAAGTAAGCCACCTTATACAGTCCAGATAACCTAAAACCTGCTATAATTATTAGTTAGTAATAGTCATCATTTCACCTAAGTCTTATATTGTGCTCTATGGTTCTGAAGGGGCTTTCTTACATGACAAACAAGAGAGTGGTTCCAAATGTACAAAGTCTTGTGAGAGTCCAAGCACAGAGTATTGCTGTATTGTTATTATTTCCACCTGAACCTTATAAGTGCCCTGTGAGGAAGGTAAGGTCAATCTTATTCCAGTTTCACAGATGAGGGATAAACCTAAGAGGACCACCATTTCAGCAGTGTGATGATGACCATGTTAGAGGTACAGGCAGCTGGGGTTAGTATGGCTACACAGAGAGCACCTGGTCTACCAGTGGGTCCGGTGATCAAAGAAGATTTTCAAGAAGAGGTGAGAGTTGGGGGTCGGGGGTGGTGGTGAGTGAAGGGCAGGTCTTTCCAGGTACATAGAGAAGCACAGAGTATGTCTGAAGAAAGAGTGATAGTGAAGATGGTTATCTGTTGGTTGGGATGAGAACTGAGGATTTCCTGCTGACAGCCCTCAGTACTCCAGTAGATGAAATGGACTAGGGTGCTCACCCTAAGCCCTTCCTTTCGTCTGCCTTTGTCCCTTTGCTGTGGCCGGTAGAAGCACCCGACACCTCTGCCTTTGCACGATGAAGCTTCCTTTCTGTCGTTTCTCTATGTGTGAACCATAGGGGCCTGTTGAAGGCATCCTTTCTGTGAAAACAGTGAAAAAAAGGAGAAGGGATAGAGAAATCAAGTTATGGAGACCTGAGAGGTGCTGGGATGAAAGGCTCTTAAGTTCTAGTCTGCTTTAAGTCCTGAAGGGTCACTTGTGGCGCTCTCTGAAGTCACTCGCTCTAACTCTTCTGCATTGAGAGACATATGATCGGGCCGCTTGTGAAATATCACTGAAAACACACTTCTGTTTCTCACTTGGCAACCCTTTTAGGGAGGACCGCTCCCTTTAGGAGAAATTCCACCGAAATCAAGCTCATTAACCTTCCACATGGACGATGTGACCCATGGTGGCTCCATCTTGGGCACAGGTGACACACCATCTGAAGACGATCTGTCATGTCTATATAGGGTATTGCTCTAACCTGGAGCCGAGCTCCTCCCCGCCCTCGCCCAGCTCCTTATTTAGCCATCTGCTGAAGGCTATCATGTCATCAAAGTCTATCTCCGTCCTTACTGCTACGGAATAATGCAGAGGTTTATGTTCTTGTATTCGCTGTGGCAGGCAATAAAGGTTTCTCCTTTGGCTTCAGTTTTAATAGAACCACAGAGAAAGCTAACCTCGTTCAACCACTCTACCGATTGGGAAATGGTGGCCCAAGAGCTGACTTGGCGCCTCTGAGCGGGACAGGCTGGGAGGGAGGGTCACGACTTTTCTCCAGTGGGACTCTGGAGCGCTCTAAATGGCGAAGCTGCAACAGACTTTCTCTGTCCGTGTTAGCGATATGTTTTAATGCTATAAGACCCCCCCCCCCCTTTTTTGTAGTCATAACTGGGTATAAGATACACAGAGTATCCTTTGCTGGAAAAATCCTCTTTAGTGCTGCTAAATTCCCCGCTTATCGTTGATAACTGTTTATCATTATATTTAGTCATTATCTAACAGTGATATTAATATTAAGGACTACTTATTTTGTGTTTGCTATGTGTTGACTATGTACATATAGTATGTTTACATTGTGCACTGTGCTAAGGGTTTTATACCTCTAAGCACACTTACTACTCTCAACAACCCAGCGGTGGAGGTATTATTATGTTGATTTTACAGAGGAGGAGCCTGAGGCTTCAGGGTTAAGAAAGTTCTCTGAGGGCCCTGGCTGGTTTGGCTCAGTGGTTAGAGCGTCGGCCTGCGGTCCGGAGAGACCTGGGTTCGGTTCCCGCTAAGGGCACGTACTTGGGTTGCAGGCGGGTGGCAGCCACTCCATGTGTCCTTTTCACGTCAAAAATAAAAAGAAAGTTCTCTGAGGTTGTCATACAGGTAGTAGTTTGGGCAGTCCAGGTTCAAACCAGATCTACCTGACCTTAGAGCCTGTGTTCTTAACAATTTTGCCTCATCTACTTCTTTTTGCAGATATTTAGTCAGGAAATTTGCCTTCTATTCAATCTATTAGAAAGATTTTATTTAATAACCAAAAATTATGTGTACATTTTTCCTAGTTCTGGTCCTGCTACACTGGGGTCAGAATAAAGCTTAAAAATGCCTTAAGAGGTCTTAACTTTGACCGTGGTAACAAGGTGGGGGGCGGGGTGTGTCCCCCAGATACATATACTTAAGTCATCTGTAAGTTTAAGAATCTAAAGTTTGAGACCTGATGGAGCCCCAGGGAGACCTTGTTCAAAGGCCTGGTGACAAAGAGATGTCCAGGACCATCATCCATGAAGAGTAACCCAATATGAGTTTTCAGATGGAATCTACCTGAACCTTTGACACCCTGACCCCTATGCTATGGACATTCAATATTGGTATTTTAAATAAATAGCAGTGGAAATAGGCAACAGGATGGCTCTTTACAGATCCCACGTGCCAGGTTCTGTGCCAAGCCAGAGTCCCCACATGCTGAATCCTTTCAACAGTGACACAAAAGGTGCTTTTCTTGTTCTCATTTTTATAAAAAACAAAACAAAACAAAACAAAACACCAACAGCACACCAGAAACAAGACTTGAAGAGGTTAAGTAACTTGGCTAAGACACCCACCCCTTGTGAGTTTAAAAAAATGAATATTTGAAAATCATATAAATTGTTTATTTGATTAGCTCATTTACAAAGGTTATTATATCTAATTAAATAAACAGAGACTATGGGTTGATAAGGATAAAAATGCCTTGGAAGTGAATGTCAGGATTTAGAGGAGTGATCTTTAAAAATGGAAGCAGACCGCCCTGGCCGGTTTAGCTCAGCAGTTAGAGCGTCGGCCTGTGGTCCAGAGAGACCCGGGTTCGGTTCCTGCTAAGGGCATGTACCTCAGTGGCAATATGTCCCTTTCACGTCAATGTTTCTCTCTCTCTCTCTCTCTCTCTCTCTCCCCCCCCCCTCCCTCCCTCCCACTCTATCTGAACAAAAAATGTCCTCGGGTGAGGATTAAAAAAAAAAATGGAAGCAGACCTCTAGACCAGCTTTACATTGCTTTATGTGTGACGTGTTAGGAAGATCACAGTGCGGGAGTTTATAAGCCCAGATTGTATTAATAACCTTTACCTGATTTTGATCTGAAAGACTTTCCTTTGGAAGCTGGGCTGGCCTTGACGTGATGCGTCTTGGCCAACAGGACACTGTCTCCATAGCTGATCTCATCGCCTGGAACTCTCTCACCTACAGTGAATGAGAATTTACTTGACCCTTTCAGGAAATTCAGATTCCGACATATTTATGCAGTCCTGTGTAAGTCACAGGCACTGAATATGGTGACTTTTAAGCACATTATTTTGTTTAACCTGGGGCCTAGCAGAGTTCCTGATATATAGGTAGCTATCCAAAAACGTTGAAAGAGAAATAATTTAATCCTCACATCTCTGAGACGCGGTTCTTAAATTTATCATAATCTTGCAGATGGGCGAAACAGGACTTGGAGATCAAGTAACTCATGCTCAAAGCCATGTTGCTGTGTAAGTGATAGAATCTGATCTCAGAGACAGACATGCCAGGGTCAGTGCCCTTTCTGCTGTATCAGTGGCCACTTTTTGGGAAACCTCAAGGGAAAAACACAGCAAATTCTTAGAGTTCTGGTAATTTTTTAAATCTGACTTCAATACAAATTTCCACATAAACCAAGGACTGGCTGGTTAGCTAATAAATGAAAGGAAGTGCTTGGAATATCAGTGTTCACAATGTTTCTCTTCCCTGCAGTTCCCAGGGTGGCTGAGATCCATCAGAAACTGACGACCGAGCGCTGTCAGCGGCCGGCCCTGCCTCTTGGAGCGGAAGCCAGAGAGCTGTTTGAAAACGTCTCATTCACACACCAGGTTGCTATTGAGGTCTTTTTCATGTTATGATCAGAGCAGTTGCTTGTGTTTTTATCACTAGGCTGATTTTTGAGATAAAATCAGCTTCTGCTTCTTGACTGGGTGGAGTTGTGGGTGCATGAGCGAGGGGATCAGATCCAAGCCTTCCTTGCTGGGGAGGAGTGGGTCAGACCAGTGGGCAGGACGGCTACACTCGCGTGGACCCCGTGTTTAGTCAGCTTGCCAGTGAGGACCCTGTGTTTAGCCATCGAAAAAGGAAAAAGAAAGCCTCAATTTTCCCTCTTCTCTTTCTTTTCTAGTTGAAGACCAGAGCGTGGAGCCATTCAAAGTAGACTGAGGTCTCTCTCGGATGGATGGAGAGAAGTAGCAGTCTGCAAAGTGCTGTTGGAGGTCCTGAGAACACACACCCATCTGGTTGTTATTCCCTGTGTTGAATGGCATTTGTTTCAACCATCCAGGGATTCTGAACTTGTAACGAGGGATCCAGGCTGGGAAGATGTTGAGTTCCATCAAGTGTGTTTTGGTGGGAGACTCTGCTGTGGGGAAAACCTCCCTGTTGGTGCGCTTCACCTCAGAGACCTTCCCAGAGGCCTACAAGCCCACGGTGTATGAGAACACGGGCGTGGACGTCTTCATGGATGGTGTGCAGATCAGCTTGGGTCTCTGGGACACAGCTGGCAACGATGCCTTCAAAAGCATTCGTCCTCTGTCCTACCAGCAGGCGGATGTGGTGCTGATGTGCTACTCTGTGGCCAACCATAACTCTTTCCTGAACCTGAAGAACAAGTGGATTGGTGAAATCAGGAGCAACTTGCCCTGTACCCCCGTGCTGGTGGTGGCCACCCAGACTGACCAGCGGGAGATGGGGCCCCACAGGGCCTCCTGCATCAGTGCCATAGATGGGAAGAGACTGGCCCAGGATGTGAGAGCAAAGGGCTACCTGGAGTGCTCAGCCCTTAGCAACCGCGGAGTACAGCAGGTGTTTGAATGTGCGGTCCGAACTGCTGTCAACCAAGCCAGGAGACGCAACAGAAGGAAGCTCTTCTCCATTAATGAGTGCAAGATCTTCTAACCTCCAGGAGACTTCACCCAACGCTCATGTACTTACCCAAGACTACTGGGGACAGGGAGAGCAGGCCAACAGCAAGGACTGATGCTCTGTCGGGGTACATCCCTAGCACTGTTTCCTTTCGGATTTAGTTTGCTGATGGGACTTGGCCATGGGATATTTTTATTAAGTACACTCTGCAAATGAACTCCTCATCCAGTCCAACTAGGAGATCTCTGGGGAAGCTATCATGAATTTTCTATCTCCGATTAAAAACATAAAATGGACTTCATAATTTTGGACAATGAAGTGAGTTTTCCAAAAAATTCTGTATTTAAAGACACATTTTATTTAAATGATAACACAATGTAGAACTCTTGTATATAATAGTTTTCATGTCTGAGACACTCACAAACACACACTGCTGTCGGAGTGAAACAACCTTACAGGACTCTGCTGTGTGTTTGTGGTGTTATTTTCATCTGAAGTAGGAATTTTGTTGGAGCCACTTGCCTACTAGATTTTACTAGGTAATCGAGTTTCAAAACGTCCATTGACTTTCCACCCAGCTGTTGTTCAGTTTGTATATAAAACACATTCAATAACATGCTACTTTAATACTGCCTAATGATTTTAAACAGTTATCCGTCTATTTTTCTGTAATTTTATAAAAAAGTATTTCTTATTTACGATACTACCTTTCAGCCAAAGAACTCCAGTTATGCACTAAGTATTCCTTTTTCATTTACCAAAACAGATGAGAGGAAAACCTTTGGGTAGAGAATCAGATTGCCCCTAGTGATAGCAGCAGAGCTTGGAACAGAATTTAAAGATCTCATGTTCCTTGAATTTGTTACTTGAGCTCTTAACCGAGCGGGCATGACAACATAACTTATTAATTTTAGGATCTAATCAGAGTAATTAAATAAGGTGTTTATGTACATATGTGTGTACCTATGCAGAAAAAAGTAGAACTTATAGCTTTTACTATTTTATGAATATGAAGCACCTGAGTAAAAAAAAAATTAAATTCTAAGCACAGGAAACAGGAAAACTGTATAGCAATTTTTCAGATAATAAAATGTTATCAGGGAAAATAGTGAATTAACAGGGACGCCCTCAAACCCCATTCTATATTATAGCTTAAAAACAATGGTATTGGTCATCTGTTCACGTTGAGAACAGCAGACCATATAAATTTTGAAGGCTGGCACCAACTACGTCATTTACTCGCCCAATCAAATAAAACTTGAACTACTCTGAACCACATTTATTAAAGCACATCATTGTTATGGTATAATATGGCCATTACATTCAAATGGTAAGGCAGTTGGCATACATGACTATGATTAGATTTCTGTTGACAGACCAGACTGATTTTTCTGTTTCCTTGTGTGGTCAAGTCTCTATAGCTATGATCGATGTCGGAATCAAATGTGTGCCCCATACTGTTCTCTCACCCACACCCAGTGAAAGGGCTGGAACCTGGCTCTTAGTCTCTGGGGCCGAGGTTCCTGAGGCTCCCTGGGGCTGATGTGTCTGCCTCCCCGCAGACATCTCCAGTCCTCCAGTGCCTTGGCTTGTCCTCGCCTCTACGTCACCTGTGTCCCTTCCCTTGGGAGCCGGTGTATCCAGCTCTCCGTACTGCACAGCCAGAGTGTTGGAGGGTTTAAAGGGCCAGGCAGGGGGGCTATGGGAGCTCACCTTCCTTCACAGCCCTGTTGAGCTTCGTCCTTTCTGTCAACGTGCAGTATTAAATAGCTCATACGGATTTTCCTTCAGGGCCAGTCTTTAGGGTGGGCACCATCTACTTATTAGCAGGAATGAATTTCTGTTCACTCAAATTGTCTGTCCCTGAGATTTTCTTTCTTGCTGAAGGGAGATGAGAGGTGGCGGTATCTCTGAAAATGGGGAAGTGGTTCAAAGTGAGGGAAAAGGAGGTGATTCCATTCTAGAGGAGAAGGGAAGGCCAGAGAGGGCGTAGTCGCCTGGACAGACACACCATGAGCCCTCTGCCTCCTGCAGGAGCCACGCCTACATGTTCCCTCTGGGAACCCTCATCCCTGAGAACAGGAATCCAGGTGTAAACCCTCCCCAGTGATGGGCCCTCCGATGGGACTGATGTCCCCAGGGCCAGCACAAGGAAGAAACCGTAGCTAAACAAACTTGTGTTGAATCGGAGAGAGGACAGAAACTGGGCTGCTGGGTCGCAGAGTAGGCAAAGGAAGGAAACGGACCCCCGCCAGCCTTGCAGGGTAAGAAGTGAAAATAGGTCATTTTTGTTGGAATCCGTGCAATGTATGCTCTACGTGAGCGTATGCTCATGTTTGCCTGCCTAGACGCAGGCACACGTTTCTTACACTTCAGAACTTGCACGACCATCCGTGAGACTAGAATACGTTGACTCTTAACTCTTCCAAGCAGCACTGTGAACTATGCTCTTGTTTGCACTAAAGAGTTGATTTGAGAGGTTGAGTTAGTCATCCTCTTTCTCACTTTCTGCTGACTATTTAAATGGGAAGCAGAATCTCGTGTGATGAAGTTAGGCTGAGTGACAAGAGTTGTGAGCACCCTGATGGTTACTGATTGCTGAGCACTTCGCATGTGCCCACAGTGTGCTCAGCACTGTGTGCATCTGTCACCACGTGGTGTGTAGGTGGCCACGCTATAGTGAGCACCACCATCTTGCACAAGGAAACTGAGGCTCAGCACATGGACGTGACAAGTCCAGGCCATACAGCAGGTGAGTGGCAGCCGCAGGACTCTCGAGCAGGTCTGTCTGACTCCACAGCTCTGCTCAAAACCACTGCACCCTACTTCCTCCCAGAGCAGCCCGACTGCATGGCTTTGCCACATCCGAGCTCATGTAGCCCGTAGGCCTCCCCCCATCAGTCAAGTGGCCTGTGTTTTAAAATTATTATTATTTTTAAAAAAATCTTCACGTGAGGATACTTTTTTCCATTTTATCTTCAGATAGAGTGGGAGAGGGAGAAGGAGAGGGAGAAAGAGATGGAGAGGAAGAGAGAGAAACATTGATATGTGAGAGGCACATCGATTGGTTGCCTCCAGCATGACCCTGACCAGGGCCAGGGACGAAACCACAACCAAGGTACATGCTCTTGACCGGAACTGAACCTGCGACTCTTTGGTCTGTGGGCTGACGCTCTACTGCTGAGCCAAATCAGCCAGGGCTTAAAATTATTTTTAATGAACTATTCCAAGTCTGAACATAGTTCTCCCATTTTCTCCTTCTTTCTGGCAATGAGAACAGGGCCCTGTAAGTCCCAGAGCACCGTTGTCGGCAAAGGTCCCCGACCCAACCCTTGGCTTTTAAGTATAATTTCACAGGTTGATTACATGTGAATTGGCAGAGATGAAACACATCATGTTTTGATGCTTTAAAAAGCTTGGAAAATATTATCTTTTTCTTCTCTCTCTTTCCTGTCCCTCAAGTTTTGGGTACTTCCTTTAAATGATGGAGCAACAGGGGAGAGCAGAGCCGGTTCTTTGCTGTTAAGGGTTGGGGACCACGCAGGAGAGGCGACAGAAGGATTCCGGTTTGGCACATCTGCAGGGTTACAATACGACAGAGGGGACAGGATTCTGGCATGTTCGTCTTGAATGCCAAGAAGGCAATCACTCCTATAGGCTGAGTCAGATCAGAACAGCTCGAGGGTAGGAGCCTGCGTTTCCTTCGGTTGTCACCGGCTAAGATCTTGAGCAATTTCTCACCAGAAGAAATAAAGTAAACCATAGACATTGCTTGTGGTGTACGCTCATAAAGAGTACTTGATGAAACCTGAAGTCCCCTTTAACTGTTTTAGTTGATGCTAAAATATATCCTGGCATGGAATCTAATACTTAATGGTAATTAGAGAGCCATATGAGGGAGAGAGAGGCCAGGCAGTTGCGATAGATTGTAGAGTCAGAACATCTTGGCTGTGTGTCTTTCAGCCTCAGCTTCCCTATCCTAAGACGGAGACAATTCCTGGGTTACTCTGAAAATTAACTCAGTGGGGATTGTGGAAGTGCTTTATATCTGTAAGCGATTGTTTAAATGGAGGTGTGATGATATTTTTGGTGGGTTCCTATGCAGATACATAGGCTGGATATACTAGATCAAATGAGAATATTCTAGAACTAGTGGGCCACATGCGGGATGCAGAAGCCAGCTCCGTCTGCAGCAGTGTCAAGTACAGTAAGAGGAATAAAATGACACAATGGTAATAGCAGCAACTACATTTGAGCACTGCTGTTCCAGGCCCTGTACTAGGCACTTCACATACCTCATCTCATTCAATCCTCTTAACGTTCACAAGTAGATGTTATTCTCTTTCTCTTGATAAGAAACTGACAGATAAATGGAGATATCTCCCTCATACAGTTACTTTTCAGTGTCCCTGTTTTACCATGTGATTTTGGCATAATTAAACTTGACCAGCTAAAAATTACATGCTGGCCCTGGCCAGTTAGGCTCAGCGGTTGGAGCATCAGCCTGCTACCAGAGAGTCCCGGGTTCGGTTGCCGCTAGGGGCACGTACCAAAGAAAAAAATAAAAAATAAAAATTATATGATGAATTTCATTTTTATTTTTTTAATCCTCACCCTAGGATATTTTTCCATTGATTTTCAGATAGAGTGGGATGGAGGGAGAGAAGAAGAGAGAGGGGGAGAAAGAGAAATATCGATGTGAGAGAGACACATTGATTGGCTGCCTCCCACACAACCCCAACCAGGGCCAGGGATCAAACTGCAACCGAATTACGTGCCCTTGACTGGAATCGAACCCTTGACTCACTGATCTGCAGCTGACAACTCTAAATGTTGAGCCAAACTGGCCCGGGCATATGAGGAATTTTATTTGATGTCCATTACACTTGCTGATTTAGCTAGGAAGGTTAGAACGACCTCGGTTACGGTTACGTACTGTAGGGGCACGGTGATGATGAGGGCTCACCAGCCTTCTGGTGTGAGTTTTTTTGTCCTTCTTCTTGTGAAGTCTCCGGTGGTTCATATACCTTTGTCCTACCTGGTCTCTGCCGCTGTCCCCGCTCCTCCCATTTCCGTTTCCAGCCTTCACTGCCCTTCTCTGTGCCCGGGAGGCTAACCCTGGCACTGCCCAGCATCGCCTCCGGGTTGCCTTCAGCTGGAGGGAGACTGGAGGTCAGAAGGTAGGAGGAAAGAACAGTCGGGTTTGGGTCCTATTCCTCTCCTGCCTTGGTGATGCTCATGTGACAATGGCTGTGACTCACTCCATGAGAAAAGCCACGCTCCTGCTTGGGCAGCTTCTCCATGGCTCCACTTCTCACTGCGGACAGTATTTCCTCACCTCACCATCAGCCCTGAAGAAGATGATGGCTTCCAGCTGGTGCTAGTGTTGGGGTGCAGCGACTTCCCTCTTGTGGTCCCCTAACCCAGAACTCTACCAGTGGTGCCTTCATTCAAGTCTCTTCATCGGAACCACCTAGAATAAATTTGGTTTCCTATAGGATTCTGACTGATACACTCACTAAATATGGAAAGTAGTCTATATGTGCTGGCATTAAGTGATTACTCAAATTTCTACTGAAGGTATAGGCTTGCCAGTCTGGGTGACTGCCCTGTTCTACCCTCAAAACCCAGGAAACATCACTCTCGACATCTGTTTGCTTGGAAGAGAAAGGAGGAGTACATTGATTAAGCCTAATTTGAATAAGCAAACAAATAGTTCTGGAATAGCAATGTTCAAGATTTGTGGAGCTTCTAATAACATACTTATATTTGAGAAGCTCTGCTATTATCCATAATATATAAAGAAGTACTATGGATCAATAAGAAAAATAACCCAATTTAAAAATGGACATTTCACAGAAGAAAAATTATGCATGACCAATAAACAATAGAAAAAGTGCTCAATCTCTCTAATAGTTTGA